TGGCTTAAAGACTCGCGTTGCCGCCGAGTTTATCAGCTGTGCACCTAGTGTTTCATGTGTCCATGCTTTGGAAGTATCACGGTGATCCATCCCACGTGTTAGACTTCAGCACTATCCAGTTGGACAAGGACTTGACCTATGAAGAGGAGCCGGTAGCTATTCTAGATTGGCAGGTTCGTCAGTTGAGATTGAAGAATTTCCTTTTAGTTCGTGTGTAGTGGAGAGGTCAGCCTATTAAGGCAGCAACCTGGGAGTCCGAGCCCGATATGCGGAGCCGATATCCCCATCTTTTTCCCGACTTAGGTACTTCTTTTCTATGTCTGTTCGAGGACGAACGGTTGTTTTAGAGGTGGAGAATGTGATGACATTTTGTCATCACTTGTTTTAAAAGTCCATTCTGTGTTCCAAGGCCTTAAAAACCTCATTTTGTCTCACCTCGATTTGCATGCGCAGACCAGGCGTATATCCGGAAAGCTTTTATGTGAAAATTTGATAAAAATACTATTTTTGCCTTTAAAATTAAATTTAAGTTGACTTCGGTCAACAATTTGGGTAAACGAACCCAGACCCGTGATTTGACGGTCTCGGAGAGTCCGTAGAAAAATATGGAACTTGGGCGTATGCCTGGAATTTAATTCTGAGGTTCCAAGCCCGAGAAATGAATTTTTGAAGAAAATTGTTTAACTGAAATAATAAGAGTTTTTGAAAATTAAAATTTTTTTGAATTTGATGGTATCGGGCTCGTATTTTGGTTTAGCAGCCTGGTAAAGGTCTTATATGGTATTTAAGTTGAGCCTGTAAAATTTGGTAAGAAACGGAATTCATATGATGTGAATCGGACCCTCGGTTGTGAAATTAGAAACTTAAGAGTTCTTGAGATTTTTCTTTGATTTTGATGCTAAACTTGAAGTTCTAGGTATTATTTTGGCGATTTAATCTCATGATTAAGTCTGTATGATATTTTTAGGCTAGTATACATGTTTGGTTTGGAGCCCCGAGGGCTCGGGTGAGTTTCGGATGGGGTTCGGGATGTTTGAGACTTAGAATTTTTGTTGTCATAGCTGTTGCAGGTACCTAGTGAATTTGTTCTTCGCATTCACGTGGCTTCACTCGCGAACGTGTGAGGTAAATTTCCACATGGATCATTTTGTTCTTCGCAAACGCGGAGCTCAGGACGCGAACGCGAAGCTCTGGTGGGTTAACCTTCACGAACGCGTTCTGGCCCACGTGAACGCATAGAGTTAGTGGGCCTGGGGGAGGGGAGCTCGATTTGTTCTATGCGAACGCGTCTGTTTGACTGCGAACGCGAAGTCCTGAGGAGCTAAAGCTCCGCGAACGTGGTCCATCCAATGCGAACGCGAAGGCCATTGGGCCTGATCCATCGTGAACGCGGCAGATCCAATGCAAACGCGATGAAGGCCTTCCCAGTCTTTTTAAAACAAATTTAAAAACGGGCAGAACCCATTTACTTCATATTTTCGAACTACCAAGACCTAGAGGCGATTTTCTTCACACAAATTCATCCTCAAATTGTTGGTAATTAATTTTAAACTCTACTCTTTCAATTATCCAACGTTTTTCATTACTTTTAGATCAAAAATCAAGAATTTTTATGTTAGAAATTGGGAATTTAGGTAGAGTTAGAACTTTTTGAATAATTGAAATTTAGACCTCATTGGGGTCGGATTTTGAAATTAATTACATATTCGGGCACGTGGGTGAATGGGTGATCGGGTTTTGGTCCAAACCTCGAGTTTTGACCAAGCGGGCCCTAGGTCAATTTTTGACTTTTTGGAAAAAAAATGATAGAAAACTTATAATTTAGCATTGGGGTTGAATTCTTTAACATTTATTGATATTGGTAAATTAATTTGGGTTAGATACAAGTAAATTGGAAGCAAAATCTAAAGGAAAAGTGGTGCTTGAGGCTTGAGTTTGGCCGTGGAAGTTGAGGTAAGTGTTTGGCTTAACCTTAGCTTGAGGGAATAGGTGTTGTGTCTTATTTGCTATGTGTTAGTGTCGAGTACGAAGTATAGGTGATGTGACGAGTATCTATAGATTGATGTCAAGCATGCCCGTGAGTCTTATATTCGGATTTGTTGTGATTTTATTATGTATTGATCATGCTTAACTTGATGGTTAGCAACTGTGGTACAAGATTTATGATGAATTCTTCGTAATTGGCAATTGTCAAGTATTGGCTCAGGTTGAGGTTTATTTTGTGAATTAACTGTTAAGATTGGATTGGTTGTAGTTGATTCCCTTACCGGGATGTTATTGCTATAATATTGTTTCCCTTGTCAGGATGTCATTGCTTGTGATATTGTTTCCCTTGGCGGGATATTGTTGTTATATTATTTTTCCCTTGCCCGGATATTATTATTATATTATTGGCCCCTTGCCAAGATTCTTTTGTGATTGGTGTTGATTTGTATATTGGGATCGGGTTGCGCGCCGCAAAAATATTATATAGGATCGGGTTGCACGACGCAACAAGGAGTAATAACAGAGGATAGGTGGGGTCAGGTTACACGACACAACATTATTATATGATTTGTATCGGGTTGCACACCACAACAGAATTACATGATTGGGATCGGGTTGCACGCCGCAACAGAATTACATGATTGGGATCGGGTTGCACGCTGCAACAATAAAGAATAAAAGTGGATCTTGATTCATTACTGTTTTCATTATTCTTACTGATACAAAATTTAAGATGTTCTTTATGCTTTTCTACTGAAATTCTGTTGGTACTTGATATTCCCCGCAGTATGTTCCCCCTTCCCATCTTTAACTGCTAGTTTTTGTTATTATTATTTGTCGTATATGCTTTAATTGCACAGGTTTATTTGGTAGTCTTGTCCTAGCCTCGTCACTACTTCGCCGAGGTTAGGCTCGACATTTACCAGCACATGGGGTCGGTTGTGCTGATACTACACTCTGCACTGTGTGCAGATCTCGGTACTGGAGCTTTTGGACCATAGCGAGGTTGTTGCCTTCAGTCCAGTAGAGATCCGAGGTAGTCTTGCAGACGTTCGCAGGCCTTGACGTCCCCTTCTATCTTTTCCATTCTGTTTTTATTTACTTCATAGATAGACTTGTATCTTTATATTCATACCACTATTTGTAGTATTCGTAGATGGTCCGTGATATTATGACACTAGTTCTGGGTAGAGTTGTATCTTGGATGTTCGTACTAGTATTCAGTTAAATTATCAGATTTTGTCTTCTGCATTTCTTTTATTATTATTACTATTCCGCTGTTTATCACATGTTAATTTGAAATTGTTAAAAGGTTAAGCAAAAAGGGTAAAAAAAAATCTATATCACTCGGCTTGTCTAGCTTTCACGAGTATGCGCCATTACGACTCCTGAGGGTGAAAAATTCAGGCTGTGACACATATCAACCGCATGAAAATACTCATCCTGCCAAACATAGCCCGAATGACCTAATCACCATCTCTTAGTACGAATAACGAAGCTCAAGTAACATGACAATAACAGGTATAAATATAGGTTCGCGATACCAAGATCAAGTTAGGTATGCAATGGATCTTAGAACAACACATTAAATCTCTTTTGAGGTGTCATATATGCTCTAGCATGATTTCTGACACAATTAATTGAGCTTATTAATTATCGAATTAAATGAACTATATGTTAAGGGATCATTAAGTTCAACAAAGCACAAAGAAGCATATAATTCGCACTCTCGAGCATGAAAATCCTGGAACATACGTATACGCTCATCACCTCGTATATGCATCACCCCTACATGTAGCAAACAATATCAATTAGTAGGAAAATTTCTCCAACAAAGTTAGGCAAGACACATACCGTATTCTGGAATACAATCAACAATCAACCACAACATTTTCCTTTAAGACAAGTCTCCAACCAATCGAATCTAGCAAAATATCATTCAAATAATTCAAAATAAGATTTAGAAACTACCCATGAATGAAAAAAGATCAATCTTTAACTAAATTGAAAAAGTCAACAAAAGTCAACCCCGGGCTCGCTTGGTCAAAACCCAAGATTTAGACTAAAACCCATTACTCATTCAGCCCCCGAGCTCGTTTATGTGATTTGATTCTAAATCTGACCTCGATTTGATGCCTAATATTAATTTTACAAAATCCCTAAATTCTACCCAAAATCCCTAATTTCTACCATAAAATTCTTAGATTTGATGTTAAAAACTCATGAAAAGCAATTGAAATTGATTGAAAACTAGTTAAAGATGATTACCAATGAATTTGGGAAGAAAATGTTCTTCAAAAATTGCCTCTAGAGTGCTTAAGGTTGGAAAATAGTATAAAATTAGCTAAGTCCCGATTTTTTTATTTTTTACCCAGCTGCAGGTATCGTAACTGCGAACGCTTGTTCGCAAATGTGATGCCCGCAAATACAATCAGTACATCAGGCCAAGTGAAGTTGCAAATACGACGAAATTCTAGCAAATGTGAGCTAAGCTTCGCATTTGCGAAGCTGCCAGCCCCCAACTCCAGTCGCAACTCAAAGGCCACAAAAGTGAACACACAGAGTCCGCAAATGCGTACTATTCTTCGCAAAAGCGAAATTTTATCCCACCAGCCTAGTATCGCAAATGCGATCAGTTGATCACAAATGCGAGCCAGACCTCACAAATGCGAGATGTCAAAAATTTATGTAACAATTTTTCGGAAAACGACACGAACCACGCAAGCAAATCAAGAAATATCAAATAGAGCTAGGAAAAGTCCCGACACACAGAAAGGTAAGCTAGTACTCAAAACGACCGGTCAGTTCGCTATATAAATATTATTTCCTAATTGTTTATGACTAACCGTTGAGCATAGTTTTGATTATCAAATAAGGTTGGCTCGGCCCGTGCAACATTATTTAATTTTGTATGATTTCTAACTGCAAATCTAATGAAAAATAAATGGGCCCAACATTATTTAATGTTGTATGATTTTTAGTTGTAGTTCTAATGTAAATTAATGTTGTAAGTGTGAAAGCAAGTGGTCAATATTGCATACTAATTGGTAGATGCCTATTTACATACATTTTGATCAAAATATATGTTTGCATCCATGAAAGCATCATATGAAGGGATGCTTAAAGTGTCATAGTAGTTACAACAGGTATGCCATAACTATTTGCATATTAGGAAAAAGAAATGCGTTGTGTATGCGATATTTGGTCTTCTTTCTGGTTTTCTTTTTAGTAGTTCTTGACCAAAAATACCTGCAAAAAAATAAATATGTTATATTTCATAGTCAAAAGAATCCAACATACGTTCAAGGCAAATAATGTGTTGCTAAGTTAGTAATAAATAGCCAATCAGTGAAGATAGGAAATTATATCAGAAAGACTATGGTAGTATCACAAATACATAGTAGAGTAGAGACTAAAAATAGATAAATCAAATCTACAATCCCTTAGAACAAATTTACTAAAGATATCTTCGCCTTTCTTCTTATGTGAGTGCTTCACACACAGGCCCATACTTGGCGAGCTCTTAGAAGATTATTGCGTGACTAATTCACACATCACACGTCACATGGACTTCAGTTTCAAAGTATTTGAAGTCCACTATAAGAGTCCTTTGTATCAATTCTATTCTATTCAGCTCATTTCACTTCATTTCCAAATCATGCTCAAATGCATATGACAATTCCAAAATCAACTTTAAAATGTCTTAAAACACTAAGACAAAAAAAAAAAAAAAAAAAAAAAAAAAAAAAAAAAAAAAAAAAAAAAAGCAAAAAATAAATAACGAACCAGTAGGGTAACCAGTTGTGCTTCAACTACTACAACAGAATACAGAAACTTTAAGCAAGTTAGTCGGTATCCATGTGTTGGTGGTTTCTATTAATAGATTACCGAGAATATGGAATTGTACACAAGGCTTCTATACTCTTAGTTTGGAATCATTGAATAAAAATTGCACAAGTTACTCTGTTACCATCCACTCTTCTTATAATGCACTTTTTCTTGTATCATGTTTAACTTAATATGTCACATCATTTACAGTTTCTATCATGCTGGATTATTGAAGTCAATAACAGATTCACATGCTAGAAAGGTGGGAACTGAAGGTCAACCGTTCATATCGGTAAAAGCACGATAACATATAATTTTGAGTGTGAACGTGTTTATTCAATGATCCACAACACTAAACTACGAAGTTACTCATGAGTATCTCCACCACGTTGGATAAGATCAAGTATTTGTTAGCTTAACTACTCAATGTACTATTTATTCTAGATCAAAACATCAAACAACACTGATAGACAAAATTCCTCCTTTTTCCAAATTAAAATTTCTAGGAAGAAGTCTATAGCGAATGAATTTACTCAAAAATGAAGTTAACTGCATTCAAAAACACCAATACCAATACAGGATGTCAGAATAATTTGTACAGTAAAAGACAAACCTATTCTAGTTTCATCAGTTCCATTTCTAACCTTTTCCAGTCTCTGCTAACATGAAGTGATGTAAATGTAGCATAAACGATTCTCATCTTTTATTAAGTTTTAATTTGATATGACACACTAAATTCATCATTTCTAAAACAAAGTTATGACATAGTTATTTATTTTCATCAAGTGAATTTGTTTAAAAAATTCACTCCCGCATGAATATGTGGCAGCTTTTCGCTATGGAAGGAGCACACTGCTCGCTTGAAGTATTAACGCTCATAAAGGATAATGTGTTAGCAGAGCTATTAATTAGTGAGGAGGCAGCAAGTTGTCGCCTGCTTGTTTGAGCTTTGTTTGCTCTTGCTCGTGCTAGGAGGGCCTCTTTTTTATTGGATTGCATCATTCTATACAGTTCGCATCGCCTAGCCTTCTTGTAGGCATGTAATTTTTCAAAGTTTTTATTTTTATGATTTTTATTCGACATTTCAGCCGCCGCCTATTTCCTGAACGTGAAATGTCAAATACATGTTGACATAACTGAATATATGTTCAACATGGCTAATATGCATGCATGTTTATATTTTCAAAGAACCTGGGCAAAAACTCACAATACCTATACGTAAATGATGAGAGCTCAGAAATTTATCTTTCGGTTGGAACTCTACTGAGTAACAGAAGTGCACCACAACCACACAATGGATCGCAAGAACTGCAACAATAGAAAAAATAAATTGACATGGACAACAAAGGTCAAAAAGCAAAGAGGAAATGGAAAACTGGAAGAAAAAAAAAAATCACTGAAAGACCCACTTCTGATGACACTCTAAAAAAGTATAGTAAAAAGTGAGGTTTGAATAAGGAAGTTTTCACTAAATAATAGGAATAGCCGTTATTGGATACTTACAGATACAGACATAAAGAAATTCAGTTTCTGGATTAGACATCAGCACGGAATAACGTGGTCAAATTCTCCAGTATGACCATTAATGATACTTCGATATTTAAGATAAGCCGCCTCGCAAATAATTTCAAAAGTAAAAACTTTAAATTAAGAACTTTTCACAAATTACAGTTTTGCGACTTTGTTATAATAAGTAAAATTCAGTGATCATATACGGTAACTTTGTAAATTTTCCAGCAGAGGAGACATCAAAGGTCCTAAAAGTGAGGCTATTATGCATTCAAACTTCTGTCGCTTTAAGACCCTCAATGATTCAAGTCGTACAAATGTTAACACGTGAAGATCATCAAATTCCAGAACCATGTCAACCACCTCTTTTAAACTCAAGTTTATTAGCTGCCGGCTTTCTCAAATCCGGCATAAGGAGTTTAGTGGCAACGCAAAACCAAAAAATTCCAAAACTTAGCATGCGTCGAGTTTAAAAATGCCTTTTTATCGTTCGATTTAACACACACCAACCATCCAAAGCAAGAAGTATAGGAAGAACCAAGAAAACCAAAAAAATCTAAATTCAGCACGCTTCGAGTTTAAAAATGCTTTTTTATCATTCAATTTAACACACACCAACCATGGAGTTCCAAAATTAAAATTCATGAATAGAACCCCAAAGATGGGGCAAAGATTAGAAGAAGAGAATGCTGTATTGACTTTTCACTATTGAATTATTTTCCAACAGGGACGTTTATTTGGGCCTCCTTGACACTGGAGTTGAAGTTGCCAGGTGTGTAATTGCAGTGCCTAATTTATTCTTGTTTCTCTACTATTAATTAGTTGTATTTTTCATTAAAATTAAACTACTAACTACTAACTTATTAGAGGGTGAGGGCTTTAATTATTTGTCACTGTTGGGAGCTAAAGTTCACACTCTTTTCTTTCTTCTTTAACATGGCTTATGATAAAGCTGCTATTAAGTGTAATGGGAAGGATCCACTTACTAACTTTGATCCTAACATTTATGAAAATGAACTTAACTCAACTGATTTAACAGAACCCATGAACAAATACTTAAAATTTTCTTTCTTTCAATTAACCCATGAACAAATACCAAAAATTTTCTTTCTTTTAGTTAAGCTTAATACCTATAACAGTATCATCAACGGACTGAAATTTGCATGTGGGTTAAAACAAATTGAAAGAGCAGTAGAAGGAGAAACAAATACAGAAGTACAAAACTTGAAGTTGAAGAGGGCACAAAAGAAGTATGCACTGAGCCGCGCTGAAACTTGAGTAAGCACTGTAACACTATACCCAAAAATTTCTTCTTTCAGTTTAGACTTAAAACTCATATCAGTATCATCAATGGACTAGAAATCTCAACCAAAAAAATTGCATGTTGGGTGAAACTAATTAAAAAGGCAAAAAAAGGAGAAACAAATACAAAGACGAAACTACAAAATTGAAGTTGAAGAGGAAGGGATTGTTTTTTCTATCAGATGTTTAGCAAAAATCATGGGCAAAATTGATTAAAATTGTACCTGCAAGTAGAAGAAATTTGAGTAAGAGGAAGAGAATCGGAGAAGTTCAGAACTTGAAAGTTTATTACAACCTTAAGCATATTTTACTCAATTGGAGAAAACCTAATATGCTCCGTCAAAACAGGTGTGGGCTCATCTAAAAAGTACACGTAGTGGTTGTGCAGAAACATTAAGACACGTACATAATTTATTTGTAGATTTGATGTGCAATGACATAAATACCCCTGAGCTTTTTCCAAAAGACTCTGAAGCACACAGGTCGAAACCACTAGCCTTTTCTATATTATTTATTATTTCTCTACTTTAGAAGAGCAAGACTTTCAATATGTCTGCTTTGAATCTTTTTTAACAAGCTTGAGGGCATTACAGTCATTTCTTATCAGTTATATAAGTGCCCTTTTGTGCTCTTCCCAGATATATACGTGTACGTTTTCTGCTACTCCCAAATGTATGCTTTTCTTCTCTTTCAACATAAACATATTCTTTAGCAAAGCACACACAAGAGAAGGCATCAGAGATACATCCATCACAAGATCAAATCGAAATCAGGTAAAAGTTCCTTTTTGAAGTTCAGACTTCATCGCTTGAGATATCATGTTTATTAATTATAATATCTTGAGAATTTTCCTGATTTGTTAATATTATCTGGTCCAAACTAAGAAAAGAAAAAAATTCAAAACTAACTCAAACACCTCTTTTGTTTTCCCAAATTTAAGCTTGATTCTTGTGGGACAGCTAGCTTCGCTTCATATTCCAATTCCCACTGCAGCATTCCTTTCTTTCTCTTTTCTTGTTTTCATTGTAAATGCCAAAATTGCATCAACTTCTTTTATGTTTAGCTTCAAGCTTTCTATATGAAGCAACAATAGAGGCTAAAATCAGTAGTTTTGTATGAGGGTTCTGGGTATCAGTAGTTTCTAGCCTTTACTTCATTTGTTATTTCTGGTAAGTTTTTCCCTTTTTCTTCCTTTATTTCACTGATTTTTAGCCATCCCTTTTGGATTCCTTTGAAATTTTGTAAATGAGCTTTTGCCGTCTATTATAGACCAACTTCTTTGTGTTGATGGGCCATAATGCTGCAATATGTCTCTGAGAAAGGGAAACTAAATGAAATTTTCACATTTCCTAGGTTTACTTGTGAAAAGTTTCTTTGTTGGTATTGAATGACGGTACTTTTTTACACCAACTGATCTACAAGCCTTTCTTGGTTTATACTTGCTATGTGTTTCAAAATGTTCGTAGTTTGACTTTGAGATATAATTGATTTGCTCCATTGTTTTGTCTCTTCAATTTTAGAATTTGCTTAGCTTTACTGTTTCGGCGGATATAAAGTTGGTGCAATATAATATAATGGAGAGTGGAGGCGGGGAATGCTTCGATTTACAGAAACATAATTTTCAGTTCTAGACAACCAAATACAAAGAATTTCAAAGGAAAATTATTTTATATCATCCCAAATAGGACCAAGTATTTTATGTTTTATAATCACATTTATTCTTGCATCACTGCACATCCCACTATAGTAGTCCATTTGTCATATGGAATGTCATTTGTATTAATGTCCATCAAAAATGGATTGAAGGATCCATGTTTTAGCTTTTGATGGCTAAAATTGCTTTGGGATTAATTCCAGTTGCAAAGGTAGCAGCAAAAGATTATTTCTTTAGTACTGTGTGATTCATCAGATCAATTTTTGCAGTTTGATTGATTAAGATATTTAGGAAGAGTCAAATGAGCTAACCTATTAGGCAAAACTCGATGACGTCCATTAACATATAAAATTACTTCCTTTGACTCATCTCCTATCCTTTCCATTTACTTTCATCCATCAATGACCCCATTTTTTAAAGATTTGATTTTTTCCCGTAATGAAAAATTATTTTGGCTTTGATGATTGAAGGAGACAAAAGAAAGAAAAGTATAGTTTATATTACTGGAAAAAAGATTTGAAAAAAGTCATATGTTATATGTAAGTTACATAGGATTTTATTTGAATTATAATTGGTTGGTCCAGTAGATACAAATAAGCTATCCAATTATGCTATACGATACTACAATTAATTAACACGGAGAATCGTGATAGGAGGATTATGAATTTTTACTCTCAAGTCTTAATTAAATATTATGAGTTTGAGTCGTAAATGTGGGTTTTTCAGTCTTAGTCAAATGCCTCGGGTTCAAGCGATGCGGCAAAAAATAAATTTGCTCAGCTCTGCTTCTACTTAAGATATCCATGTTTTAACTTTTGATGCCTGCTAAATTACTTTGTTTTATCCAAAGTTTTTATCTGTTTTGGTCTGTTCTGTTTAATACCACCATAACGAGTGTTGATATTCATTGGTTTGTAGTGCATATATTTTACTTCTATGTTTTGATTTGGTATATGTGAAACTTATGCAGGCCAAAGATGTCAAATTTAAAAAAACCTGTGGATTCAACATGCTGGAAACAAAAAGGGAAACGTCAATGCTCTGAAGAAAGATGCATCCAAATTAAATAAAGACGTCGCGAAATGTATAGGGCGAGGTTGCCCGATAAAAGAGAACTAAATTTACTGGAGCGCCGAACGACATACTTTCATTCTAGAAAGCAGAATCCAACCAGTGATTCCACTGAAGTATCAGCTTGCTACCAATTTAATAGAGAATTAGCAAGGCAGAGAGCTGCTCTAATAGGAGCCTCATCTTCTACCTTGAGAACAGGTTTGTGCGCTAAGATATTGTTATCCTTGAATAAATTATGTGATATACATATTTTGTATGCTCGTAACTTGCTCTTATGTTTTAGTAAATGTGTTCACAATTAATGATTCCACTCTTTCTGATAATGGGAAAGATTTACATGATCGCTCTCCCATTTTTGAAGTTGGTAAGTGCGAAAGTATAGTGTTCAAAGTTGTACAATCTTTCAAGACCCAAATTTATATGATAATTCATTTTCTCTTAGGGTCTACATCAGAAACGTGTAGTGAACAATATAATATTACCATGCGTAACGCTACAAGCAAAGGTTCGTTTCCATCCAGCTTTAATGTCATTTCAGTCATTTCTTTTTCAGGACTGACCTTTTTTCATTCTGGTAAATCTAAAATATATAGGTCATACATCTGAAAAAATGTCTCTCTGGAACACTAATGATTTGCCCAATAGCCCTTATAGACTGAAAACTGTGCCGAATTGCAAATTTTGTAGAGCCAAAAGATTTCAATATGGATCACCGGGATTTTGTTGTGATAATGGATCAGTGAAATTGATTCACTATGGACTACCTGCTAAATTGCTAAATCTTTATTTAGGAAACTCTCAGGAGTCCAAACATTTTCGCACTTATGTTAAATTGCATAACAATATGTTTGCATTTCTTCTCTTGGAGTGAATTATGATAGAGATTTAGCAAGAAGAAATTGTGGTATTTATATGTTTAGAGTTCAAGGGAAAATGTATCATTTCATAAATGACCTCCTGCCTTCAAGTCAACCAGCAAAAAATCTGCAGTTGTATTTCTATGATACTGATAATGAACTAACAAATCGGATGGCATTCTCTGACAAGCTTAACGAATCGGTTATCAGGACTTTGATGGACACATTAAAAGTTAATCCATACTCTATTCTTTTGAAATCTTTAATAGATATTCCAGAATTATCAAACTTCTACATTGCGCTTAAGTCCGACTCTGGTTTAGATCAAAGAACATATAACTTACCGACATCATCTGAAGTAGCAGCAATATGGATAGAAGATGAAAGTAGTTCCAATATTTCTCTACCACATATTCGAATTTATACACATGGTAATAAAAGCCAATTGGTAAATTACTATTATGGTTGTTATGATCCATTGCAGTATCCATTACCATTTTCTTATGGACAAAACGGATGGCATTGTGGTATTAAAAAGATTATTCGAACGAATAATACTATTAGCCATGGAACTTATTGTGAAAATGAACAGCTACCAAGTGTAGAAAATATGAGTTCAGTAGACATGCTACTTGACATGGAAGCAGAACTTCTGGAAAAAAAAGAAAAGAAAAAGAAATATTGTGTCATGCCGTGAGTATTATTGTTACAAGCTCCAAATGAGGGACGATGAAGAAAATGGGGTTTTACATGCTGGAAGAGTATTCCAACAATACTCAGTTGACGAATTCATCAAGCTTGAGAATCAAAGGTTAGATTTCTGTTCATTTAATCAAGATTTATTTAGAATTGATGTGTTAGCGGGGATTCTTGATGTTCTAAGACACGAAGAGAGAGAGCCATGCAACATTGGCAGACAAAGTTTTCTTCCTGCAAGTTTCATAGGAGGTCCTGGGGATATGCGCCGACGATATATGGACGCTATTGCGTTAGTGGAAAATTTTGGGAAACCTGATATATTTTTGACAATGACATGTAATCCATCTTGGCCAGAAATAGAAGAACATTTATTGGTAACAGATGAGGTACAAAATAGGCCCGATTTAGTTAGTCGTGTGTTTAGAGCAAAGGTAGAAGAGATGAAAACAGATATTCTAAAGAGTAATATATTTGGAAAAGTTGTTGCTTTTATGTACACTATTGAATTTCAAAATCGTGGTCTTCCACATGCTCATTTTCTTATCATACTCAAAGACGAATATAAATTGTTAACTCCGAAAGCTTATGATAGAGTTGTTTGTGCTGAAATACCCAATTCTGATAAGAATGATTGCTTGTATTCAGTTGTTAATAAACATATGATGCACGGACCTTGTGGTAGTTTAAATCCTAAATGTCCTTGTATGAAGAACCGAGAATACTGTAGTTCAAATATCTAAAAGATTTTGCTGATCATACATCAAAGGGAAAAAATGGATACCCAATTTACAAAAGGCGAAATAATGGTAAACGTGTAAATATTAGAGGACAATTTCTTGACAATTCGTGGGTAGTTCCTTACAATCCATATCTATTGAGCAAATTTAACTGTCATATTAATGTTGAAGTTTGTTCTGATATTAAAGTTGTCAAATACCTTTATAAATATATCTGCAAGGGACATGATAAAATTGCCTTTTTCATACATGTTGATGATCCAAATATTGAAATAGATGAGATCAAAGAATATCAATCTGCTTGATGGGTATCTCCATCAGAGGCAACTTGGTGTTTATTTGGTTTTTCCATTAGTGAAATGACTCCATCTGTTTATCATCTTCAGCTACATCTTGAAGGACAATAATTTGTCTCTTTTCAAACCACACAGACCGTAAATGCAATTATAAATAATCCCATGATTAGAAAAACAATGTTGACGGAATTCTTTTTGATGAACAGAGAAAATAAAGATGCCAAGAAACTAAATTTACTCTGAAAAGAATTTCTAGAATATTTTGTATGGTCCAAACAATATAAAATGTGGACACGTCGACAACAGGACACTGTTATTGGACGTATTATGACATGTCATCCAACAGAGGGGGAAAGATATTATCTTAGATTATTATTAATGAATATTAGAGGACCAAATCATACCAACATTTGCTAACTGTAAATTAAATATGTTGTAGTACATTTAGAGAAGACGCAGAAAAACAAGGATTATTACAATGTGATAATAACTTCGTTGACTGTATGTCAGAAGCTATAAGATATCAAATGCCTTATAGTCTAAGACGTTTATTTGCTACACTTTTGGTATATTGTAATTCTGCTAACCCAAAAGAACTTTGGAACCGATTTGAAGATTCTATGTCTGAAGACTTCAAGATTTTGCCACATTTGAATGAGAAACAAATTCGTCGTATGGCTTTAGATCATATTAACACCATTTTGCATTCAATGGGTCGTGATATAAATGAATTTGCACTTGTACCAGAAAGAATCTTAGCTTCATCTGCTGCTAGGGAGGCTCAAGATTCTCATTTTGAAAGAAATATAATTGTTAGAGAAGAAGATTTATTACTAGAAACAAAATTGAACAATGAACAGCGAAAAACATATGATGTAATCCTTGATAGAATATTTAGGAATAAATCTGGAGCTTTTTTTATCGATGGTCCCGGAGGAACAGGCAAAACTTTTTTGTATCGTGCATTATTGGCTGCTGTAAGGGATTTAAATCTGCTCAGAGATTTCATATCTCTCCCACATGTGATTCATCCTAATAACTATTGATTAGGTTAAAAAAGTGCCCCTACACATGTAAAAAAACTAATTAAAAGGGCAAAAGAGACGAAGGCTAAAACATTGACTAAAGAGGGGGCAAAGAGATATTTGCCTTTGACTTCTTCTCTGCCTACTGACTGCTACTCGGCTAGATGCTCTTATTTAAGATCAAAAGGATTCGTATCTTTAGCAACAACAACCTCTGGTGTTGCAGCTTCAATTCTTTCCGGAGGACGGACTGCTCACTCCCGTTTTAAATTTCCTATTGATATTGATGAACAATTCTTCTGTAATATTAGTAAGCAGAGTTCGCTTGCATCATTTATACGAGATGCCAAACTAATTGTGTGGGATGAAGTATTAATGGCCAAAAAACAATTGATAGAAGTTTTTGATTTACTACTGAAAGATCTAATGGATACAAAGACACTCTTTGGTGGAAAAGTTGTCGTTTTTTGCGGTGATTTCAGACAAACTCTTCCAGTTGTTCGGAGCGGAAAAAAAGAGGATTTCATACAAGAAAGTTTATTGTATTCTGAAATCTGGAACCAATTTGAAAAATTGCGATTATCAGTAAATATACGACCGAGAACAGATCCTGCTTTTTGCGAATATTTGATGCGAATAGGGAGCGAAAAAGAAAAAACAAATTGCCAAGGTAAGATTGAAATTCCTAATTATTTCATTGTTCCTTTTATAAGCGAAAAAGAATCGTTGAATCTTTTATTTTAGAATAATTTATCTAGATTTATATACATCTGTTTGTGATGTGTCTTCTACAACTTCTCGTGTCATTTTGACAACAAAAAATAATTTCGTTGACGAAATAAATTATATGCTAATAAGTCAATTTTTTGGTGAATCTAGGACATATGTAGCGTTTGACGAAACTATTGAAACTACCTATCAAAGTCAATATGAAGATTTCTTGCATACTTTACACCCAACTGGCTTGCCTCCGTATAAATTAACTGTGAAAAAGAATTGTCCCATTATTTTACTGCGTAATTTAAATCCATGTGAAGGTTTATGTAATGGTACAAGACTTATATGCTGTAATTTCGAAAGACATGTGATAAGTGCTAAAATTGCAAGTGGTGACTTGAAAAACATACATGTATTTATTCCCAAAATACCTTTGTTGTCTTCTCAAGATGAAAACCTGCCTATTCCTTTCAAAAAACACAATTTCCTGTTAGATTATGTTTTGCTATGACAATAAACAAAGCTCAAGGTCAGACATTACATTTTGTTGGAATTTATTTACGAGAGCTTGTTTTTTCCCACGGTCAGCTTTATGTTGCTTTATTGCGAGAAAAAGCTCAAGTTCTGTAAAATTATTGATCCGACCGCCAACAACTAATAGCAACGATGATCATACAACACACAATGTAGTATATTATGAAATCATTCAAGCATCTCTCTTGTGAATTAACAGTAAAACTATGAGCAGTCACTTATTTGAGATTTGACATACATCTGACTGATATCCTGCAAAAGATTGATCCTCAGCACCTATAAATTGGATTGATATCACATAGATGTTAACTGAGATGTCTCTGCATCTTGAATCCTTGCTTCACTAAAGATCCTAAAGGTGGAATACTACTTGAATATTGCACTAACTATCTGGTAAGTAATTTTTTTCTTGAATATACATCTAATACTTGAAACCTTGCTTTGATTAATAATTTTGCGTGTGCATCTATATATGTTTACATGTTTGCCTGTTTCTGGACAGATTCCAATTGTATACCAAATAAAATTCTTCTTCTTCTTTGGCTATTGGAAATATGATATCTTCTTATCTTCTCCAGAATGAATGAAAGAGCTTGGCTTAGTTTCTGCAATGGAGATCTAAAATGAATTCGTTCAATATCAGCTTACTTCAGATAATATTCCACAAAACTACTTGATGATTCCAAGGTAAGTTTCTCTTTCTTAGTTTTAACATGTTATTTCATCAAATTTTCTAAATTGTTTGAGTTCTTTAGAAAAGAATGATATCTTTATATTTTCATTTTACCTTTTCAATTTTCCTTAACTGTATAATTTCTTTTGTTGAATACTTCAGTACGTCCTGAAGACATATTTGAAAAAAGAACTGTTATTCTCGCAGCTTCTTGCCATTATTGGTTGCAATAATTCTGCTAGCTTTAGGTTTGGGCGTCTTTCAGTATAGACATAAAAGAAGAGTTCAATACTAAAAAAGATAAAACAAAATATACTATTTTTGGTACTTGGAAACCATAACCAGATAATCAAATAGTATTCTACTCTAATTGTTTAGTTTTCTTGACAATTTTATGGTCTAAATTCTCTACTTGTATAAACATATTGCAGGAAAATTGGCCCACAACCATAACAAAGATCATAACAGTTCATTGCTTGGTCTGCTTTCTACTTTGTCGCAACCATTTATAATTCTTGATCTGGGTGCAGAGCCTCAAGAAGTCACACGTTTAGCATGCCAAATAGTAAGTACTTCTGTGATAAATTCAAGGTTTTTTTATTGGACTTAAAGTATGTGCATGCATAAATTAAATTTAAGATATTATATCTTATTATTTTTTCAGTTTCTACCCAATTGAAACCCTTTCTATATGAAAGATTATTTTTCCTGAAAAATATGGCTAACTATGTATAGATTTTTTTTGGTAATTAATTTCCTTTATATTAATCACCAAAGTGAGATCATTACAAACTATAATGAGCATCAAACTCTGCTGATTATCTCAACTAAAACATAGTATCCTTAATCTACTTCAAAGGACTATACAAGCTGCTACTCTCTATACTAATAAGTAATTCTGTAATTGACTTCAAGCTTTAGGTTCCACTCTAACATCACAAATATAGGCTATCTCTCGAACTATACTATCACATTGACGATATCTTTTTTCAAAGATACGATTATTTCTTTCCAGCCATATTGCATAGGATGTTTCTATGAATATCAATATACAAATACTGGCCTGTTTGGATTTCCCTTTTGCTTTCTTCATGATCCATTGCAGATGATGTTGCCAATTGTTGTAGCTTCCTTGATCCTCCTGAATCCATTTCCATATTCTACTCCATAGCTCTGTTGTATAAGGACAATGCAGAAACAGATGATCTCTTGTTTCTAGTTGTCCCTGACATAAGACACAACATTGATCAGTGGTCACTCCCTAGTTTACTATTCTATCTCTGTAGGCAATCTTCCATGTAACATTAACCATAGGCTGAAGATAGCCTTTGGTCTAGTAGAATTCCGAAATACTAAGCTCTTCCAACTCATTCTTGGTAAGTTTCCCAGTAGTTGCAGATATATATGTTTGATAGTCTCTTTGTCACCTCTTGAGCACTGAGTTTGTTGTAGGACATCTCTGGCAACAATTATTCTTCGAACTATCCAACAAGCTTGTTTTGGGATAGGCATAGTCTGAATCTGTTGATGTTTGATGTAGTAGGCATTGATCCACCTAATCCACAACTTGTCTTCTTTATGAGCTAAATCCCAGCATACCTTAGCAATTGCAGCTTTGTTCCAGATCAGCAAGTTAATGATATTCATACCTCTAGTCGACTTTGGAGTACACATTCTGTCCCATGCCACATAGCTCTTTCTGGTAATAGTATTAGTACCAGACCATATGTAGCTTCTACACATAGCATCTATCATCTTTAACACTTTGGAAGGCAGAATAAACAGCTGAGCCCAATATGCTTGAATCCCAAAGATAACAGATTTGACTAACTGTATACGACCGGCATAAGAAAGCTTTTTTGCAGTCCAAGAAGATATCTTTCTTGTGATTCTATCAATTAAGGGTTGCCATTGGATCAATGCAATTTTCTTGAAGGACAAAGGAATGCCTAAGTATTTAAAAGGAAACTCCCCTTATACAAATCCAAGATAATTCAAAATTTGTTATTTCACATCTTGTTTCACTCCCCCAAAATATACTGCATTTTTACCCATATTAGCTTGTAAACCAGATGCCTTAGAGAACTGAGTAAAGTATTGGTATAGGGTGGTTATAGAAAGAAGAGGCTAACTATGTATAGATACTCCTCTAGATTTCCAACTTACTAACTTTCCTCTTTGCTAACATCTATAGTTGACTATGATGTTATGTTCTATCCATGATTTGCTGTTCAGTTAGGTGACATGTACTTTGCTGCTATTAGCAGCAATGAGATAATGCTTTGTGCATTCTAAGATCCAAAATCTATTTCAACAAGGAGACTGGTCTTTTAACAAGGTTTAGATAGTTTGTTGCCTTAACAAATTGTTCCACATTTTTTGCATAAATAGTTGTAAGTAGTGTGTGACTATGTTTGTGAAGGCAATTAGTATTAATTTTTGGATATTGGAGCGGCCTCCAAATGTTTTGCAACAACATCTTATTCTTAGAGTGCATGTACATTTTCAAAAGTTTACAACGTTTTCCGCATGATGTTTTCCTTTATACTATTGATGTCAACGCTTACTCTTTAATAAAAGAATTACACATATATCATTTATATAATTTTAATTTTAGCTCAGTTATAAAAGTGTGTGGCCGTGTTTAACAATTTACTGCCACTAAAATATTGATAAACAAGATTTTATTTCTTAGATGAAGTATTTATTATCGAACATCACTAAACACTTTAAAGTTTATGTTATATAAACTACATCATTGTACGCGGGCTATACATGGGCAACAACCAGCTACACTACATTAGAAGTGCAAATTAACAAGTGAGACAAGCGGTCATTTTTCCTTGGGATTTAGTTACCTCAGTTTGTTATTTGTATAATATTTGTGTGTTTGTCAAAGCTACATTTTCAGACGGAAGCTAAAAGCTAAAGAGCTTCAACGCATCTTATGATAACTTATGATGGAGTCAAGGTAATGTCCAATAGATTGCCTTTATCTCAGATTTGCTAAGAAAGTAAATTAATTTCTTAAATTATCTTACGACCAAGGTTTGCTAGCTATGATTATAATCATATTTATCTGTCTAATATAAATATTTGTTGAATTTCTTCACTATTCAGATGAACAACAAGGTTTAGGTGGACTCATTTGGTCATTTTTGTGCAATATTGGTAACGTCGTCTTCTGCCAACTGCGCTTTCACTCTGTCAAGGTAAGTATATGAGTTTAAAAAAATTCTCACACTGCTACGTTCACGATATGGATAACTGTGCAATATGTTCTAATATGCTATTACTAAATGCTCCACCTTCAGATTGCAGTTATATTAAGCTGCCTTTGTTTAATATGCCTACTCAATTATGAGATGCTGCTACACACTCTATGCAATATACTTTTAAGGGCCATGAGACAACTTAACTACCAGATAGACGAGCGTGTAAGCTCTAAGGTTTTTTATATTCGGTGGAAGGCAGGTTGAAACTCTGCCGCAAGCAAGTGAAAGTTGGATAACAAAGGCTAAAGTGTGCATGTACTGAGATTTGAAAAAAAGAGCCAGTTGTAACAACCTGATTACCTGGTTGTCAACGACAATGTATCAGTGCTCTTCTCTTAGGGCTCAAAACAGCTATGTCAATAGTGGCAAGAGAAAGATCCATTACTCAGCTCCGATGCTTAACCTTCTTTGCCTTTCTAATACAAACTTATATTCTTTCACACGTAGGGTTTGTGGTTATATTTTCCAATTTATAGTTATTTGTAGACTTTTTCCTTTTTACTTAGCTTATTAACCAAAAACTCATGTGATTTCAGTTCGTTTTATCATGTTTGCCTCTTCCACTAACCTTCAACAACAAAAAAATTCCAACGACAGAACTTCTTATGGTTGAAATCTTACGGCATGTGCTTAAATTTGTTCAGGATGTTCTTCAGCTCATTTTGTCGCTGTTGCAATTAGTGTATTTACTTTTCCAGTGTCTGTTTAATATGATAGTCGTTGTCTTTCTTTTACATTGCTATGAATGGGTACAACTGCTAGAAGAAACAAAAGAATTCCTGAATGCCTTTGCAGAACAATTAGTATTTTTATGGTATATCTTTACTACCCATTCAAAGATTGATGTCCTCAAAGTTGTCTTTGTATATATAGTGCAGCATCTTATATAATGTTCTATATTAACTAGGAGTATTTTTACCATGCAGCTTCGTGATAGGACAGTTGACATCCTAAATAGTCTTTGCTAACCAGTCAGACTACATTTCATTCAGGTTAGTTTCATTGTTCGTAGTAATTCAATTACTTAAAATTCAGTTTTCCTACTTGGATGTTTATATTAAAAGTTTTTTCACGAAACATTTTATGACTATCCTAATAACAGTTTTTGTCTTTGGGTTTCGTATAGAGTATCAACATATGACATATGCTATCACTTATATAACCAGTTGTTTTATATGTCATTGGATGAGATTTCTCACCTGTTGTTTAGCATAGAAATACAATGAAGCGGATATCTTTCATTGTTACCTGCATCATAATCTTCCAAATACCTCTTCGACTCATCAATGCACTTGGAGCTGCCATTATCTTCATAGGAACTTTCATGTATTCACAAGTGAGTTTCTTCTTCACTGTCTATTGCTTAAAAAATTTGCTGCACCAAAGCACACTGGTGGAAGTGAAGAAGCAAAATGAGTTCTATTAGGAATATAGCATTGATCCTGGAAGGTACATGGGTTCTTCATTTTGTTTGTCCTTCTTCCTATTTAAGGAATCATCGAAGTTAATTCCTGATCATAGTTCCAATATATGTTTGGTGATATTTTTCATATGGCTTCTAAATTATCAATTTTCTTTCTGAAGACTTCAATTGAAGGATCTTTGAATAAGCAAAGAATTTTTTCTTTTGTGAAAATTAAGTCATGTTTTACTTTTGAAATGGACCGAGTGCAAGTTGCTCATACAGATCATAACAGCAGAGGTGTAAGAAGTCTATCTCCTAAGGTAAGTGCACTATTTTCATGTTCGTCGTCTCAGTTGGTTTATCAACTTTCTGTTACTGTGCTTAATTCCTCTGTAATTCAATTTAGAGAGTTAAGTGTATTTTCTTGCAATTTATGGTAAAATTCTATCTATGGTGGTGTTAGTAAATTATCAGATAGTAAAACGGAAGTATTCTCTTTTTATTATCCCCATATGTATTCTTTTTATTGTGTTCAGAATATTATTTCTGTTAACTTGAGTCGAAAGATGAATACTGAAGCTTGATGTTATGCTGAGTGCTTAGATGCTTTCTCCGCTATCGCTGGCTTGGATTAGCAGGTTGGATTTCTTATTTTATTTTACTTAGGAATGTGTATAAAACTGTAGAATATTGGTTGTGAAATCAGAAATTTATTCACCACCGTCCTTTTTTTTCTTTACTCAAGTTTGATTCTCACTTAAAGCTTTGAATTTAGAGCTGCTCTCTTATTTGGTTAATTTGTTGGTTGCGCTGTCACGTTCACTCAAGTTTTGGTTACAGATTTTTGGTTTCTTTAGTTGTCCAGTAATTCTCATGAATTGCAGCTTTGAAATTTGGCAACAACTATAAGATTCCAAATACATGTATCTATTATTTAAGTCGGAATGTAACTATTGAGAGTTATAGTTTAAAATTTGACAATAGCTATGTCAATAGTAAAAAACATGTATGAAAAACATGGTTGGTAATATCGCTTTCCGTGCAAAGTGCAACTGCTCTTTAGTTGAATACGTAAAATAGGTATCTTGCTGCATATGAAAGATCCTAAGCATCCAATTCGTGCCAACTACAAAAATCTTGAACATACTCATTGGAGGATGATCCTCCCTTAATGTATTTGAGAGGGACGTAAATCCGTGATATCTCATTCATCTGCTCTTCTTTTATATCTTTGCAACAGAAAAATACCATTAGCAAATACCATCATCCTGCTTGCAACACTCAAAATATGCCTAATTATACTTTTCAATCTATATCTACTATTACAATTTATCCAACACATACCAACTTATTATTCTTGAATTGTTTTATGGAAATAACAACTCCTACTCTTAAATTTGTTTTTGCAGATTTTTGCTTCCATTGGAAGCATATAACATTTGGAATTAAAGCTCATTTCAACTTTGTTTCCTCTACTTCTAGCAGGTAAAAATTCTTTTCCTTTTTTTTTTCCTGCAAATATGAAAAGAAAAAAAATATCAACCATGGTTAATCACCTCTTTAAGTGCATATTACCTGATTTCATCATATCCTGTAGCAGTATGTCCTAGCACCTATTCCTGGCCACCTATATGATCTTTAAACCAAAAAATAGTACTATAAAATGATAAACAACTTGTGCAGGACAATTGAGAGGAAAAAACTGAAAAAAGCTCAAACTTTTACCATCAGATGCATCTTCATGTTAAGATGAGAAAATTTCAAATCCTTTACTAGAGTCACCATTTTTGAGTTTCGAGCTGTTAGCTTATTGGTATTACAGTTGTAGCGAAGGGCATTTTGGACTTTACACCTTCCTAATGCAACGTGTCCATCAAATGCAAACCTCAACTGCTGAAACGTCACTGCATCGGTTGCACTCCTCTTGGATGCTTCTCTATTGATTTATTTCCTGGCTATGTGCTACTCCATTACATACTAGAAGGTCGGATTCTCTCACTCATGGAAGCTGCTGTTCTCCCTCTTCATTCTCAATACTTCATTTTTCCCTCTTATTTCACCATATCCATACATACAGAAGTTCCTTTGATGAAAGAGAACTCTTAAGGTGGAGAAGAAAGACAGAGAAATAGCCCCTCAAACAAAAAAAGGTAAAAATTGCTATTGTAGATTGTTCTTTTATGTATGAATTATTTCAAATAATGCTTGACTAGCTGGTTTAACAATATGAAAGTTTGGGTTCTCTTCATACTTATTAATTTCGCAATTCAACGATTATTGTGTGTTAAATATACGAGTGTGATTGAAAGCAGATAGGATTAAGGTACAGATAATGGTAGTAATTTCAGTTGTTTTAAACTCATTTTTTGAAGAGTATTCTCTTTCGATCTGGTTAGATTCTCCGGTCCAGAACTTGGAGATCTTGCTCCATCTCTTCTACAGCTCTTCAAAAAAAGGTGAGTTCGGTCTAGAATAAATGGTACACAAATTAAGCAAGCAGATGCCTACTAATTAGTACAGAATTAAACTGTCATACAAAAAGTCTGAGGTATGAACTATGTACCTATGATGTCTGATGAGTGATGATATGCCTTCTTTTTTCATGTTACTTATTTGGCTTAAATGTCTAAGTTCGTAGCCGGAAATACTTGCTTCAGATAGAGCTGAAAAAAACTATTGGTTTGGTGAGTGGAGCCATGTACTTCAGTCAGTAAGATGACCCTCTCATTCGCATATCCCCTTGTTGCTAAAATAGAAAGTTACCAAAGCCAGGTATACTAGAGGGCACTGGGTCTTATTTCGCGCCATTAAATTCTTTGTAGTTTAACGTTTGATACAAACCTCCTCCTATTATTTATATTACAAGTAGTGGACAACTGACGAGGATAAATTGTTTGATGTAGTTGTTAGACACTAGTGACAAGTAAGTATCACTGCAACTAAATTTTGCTTCTTTGTGTTCTTTCTTTCCACCATTCAGTGACATCCGATAGACTTAGTGATGCCAAGGTAGATTATTGTCCACAGAACACAAACAAAGAGACAAAGAGATGTGATTGATATAACATTGTCAACTTTTCATGGCCTCATTCTCTCATATTTCTTCTTAACACATTATATCGTAAGAATTTAGTTTGTGAAGAGATGCTTTCTTGAAATATCCATCCTATTCTAACCAAAGTAATTGAGATAATAGTAGAAGGCGGTGAAGATGTTAAAATCTCCATATAGGACATTCATTCCTACGGATTGTGCATCATTTCAAATGTTTATGTTGTCAAAATTATAGTTCCATCAAGGCACTTTGTGGGATGGAATTTAGGAAGCATGCCTTTTACTTAGAGTATATGATTAGTGACTTAAGAGTAGAAGAAGTTTTTTTTTTTTTTATGTTTACCACTAGGTGTTGATATGTGTTAGTCAGTTTTAAAAGTTAAGGCACTTACAAATGAACGAAAATATGAACACCAAGTTAGCAATAGTAAGTAACTTATTATCATTTATGCAAAATTATTCAAAAGGGTATAAGTATAAATTTTCAAGATGCCATTTTGGTACCTCTAGCCGTTAGACTATCTGTTGGGGCTTAGCTTCTTAAGGCGTCTCCATTTGCTAGCTCACCAAATGTGCACTATTTTCTGCTTATAATACTAGGATAAATTGGTATAGATTTGTCAATAGCCTAAGTGATATTAGTAATCAAGACTGAGGTTACCTTTCAAAGGCAACACTTTTAGTTCTGTCATGCTTGCCCTCTAAGAAATTTTCTGGTACTCCATGCTTTTCTCTTCTTCTTTTAAGTTGGAAAATGTTCTGTTAGTTTTTGTTTCTCTTAATGCAATCAATTAGGGCTAAAAGTACAAATGCTAGCCTTTCCTAAGCAAGCAGAATTTTAGGCCTTTCCTAAGCAAGCAGAATTTTAGGCCTTTCCAAGGCAAGCTGAAGTTAATCTTTTTGAAGCATGGTGAAGCCGAGTCTACTGCATTGTTGGAACCTGTAATGAAGCACAAACATGGATGTATATAACAAATAATTTTCTAAAATGGCATGTCAATTGCAATCAACTACTTCAATTCTCTTACTCTTTGCTTAGTTGCTCACATCTTATCTATTTAGGTACCAGAGTTTCTTCAGGCAATACAAGAAAGGTGCTTACCAACATCATGACCGTTTGTCAACATAGCATGTGTAGACAGTATTACCATGGGTGTGAATAAAATATTCATTTGGTAACCATACAATATGAGCAAATATTTTGTTCCTAAACGCACGTAGATAAATGAAGCAACATATATGTAATGTTGTCTTCAACGCATGTACTTATTCTTTTTACGATTTTATTGAATCATGCATTCAAGCAATACAAATAGAAATAACTATTTCGGCTTTTACAATATTGGGCCCGTGCTGGCACGGGCTATCACTACCTAGTAGATTATAGAAGAGCAAGTTTTTTGACATGGTTGTTTAAAGTCATTAACTTTTATTTTAGGGCGTTTTAGTCTTTTTAAGTATCTCCTTATACATTCTTTCTTTCTTTTCTACTTTTCTCTTGCCATTAGTTTCTTTCCCTTTTTTCAGTCTTATTGCAATCACTGAGTAACTTAAGCCTAGCTATACGGCGACGAGAAAGGTGATTGTTATAAAGCTGATTGAGTCGTCATGGCAAGGAATGCTTTCTTTTTTGTGGGAGGTAAATCTTTTGAAATTAGGGGAAATGGAGACAATTGGTACGAGATTATTGAGAGAAGGAGGAATTTTGTTAACAGATTAACTGTTGATAGGATCAATCTTCTGGAGGTTTGCAAATACCTTAAACTTGCTTCAATTGGGAAAGGAAATATTGTTAGAAAGTGGAAGATTGAGGATCAGTTGTATTTGTACTCTATCTTTCAAAATTTTAATGTGTATGGAATATATATCAGAATAGTTTCACAAAAAGGAAAGAAGAAGTCAACCATAATCATTCCAGAAATTGACGTTGATGCAGGATGGGCTGATGTTGCTGAGAAGATGATAAAGTTTTTGGAGAAAGAAGTAAGCCAAAACAAAAATTGCAATCAGGTGCCGCAAAAGAATGAAAGCTATGCAGAGATTGCTGAAATCAAAAGCTGGCCCAAGGATGGAGTTAAAGTAGTAGAATGTGTCAGAAAAGAACAGAATGTGATCGTCATTGACAAAAGTTCCTCGAAGTCTAGGGTGGAGTATCTGCAAAGATGCGTGGTTGGGTATTTTGGGAGTGTAAACTCGACCATTCCCAGTAAGAGTGAGGTCTTAAGGTGGGCTGAAAAATCATGGAAGATTTCGGCAGGGGTTAAAGTTAAAGAGTTAAATAGAGTCCTCTTTTTATTTGAATTTCCTTCAAGAAAGGAAGCTGAAAAAATTAAAATGGGTGGATGGTCTCTTAATCACTGCAAACTACATTTGGAATGGTGGTCGCCGGTGAGTCTGTGTCATCGAAAAAATTGGTGCCCCAATTACATCTGGATTAAAGTTCTGGGCTTCCCAACCCATCTATGGTCAGATAATATCTTTTGAACTATAGGGGAGAAGCTGGGTGGATTCATTGAAATGGATGAAGATATCAGAGAAAGAAAGCACATGAGATGGGCCAGAATCTGTGTTCGATATTCAGATGTCAGAGTACCAGCAAATATAGAATTAGTAGTGGATGATTTAGTGTGCTTGGGTTGAAAAAATTGATCGGAAAATTGTTGGAGATCGTCGGCGAGACTGGGAATATGAACAGGCAGCGCAATTATGGCAGCAGAAGAAGCCGCAGGTTCCCAATGGAGAATTTTCATTAATAGTAGGCACGCGTGGCAAACGTGACAGCTGGCATAATAAGCGAGATGTTGGAAATTTGCAAAGGGACCAAAGAATAAATGGAGATCCTCGTAGAGCAAACCCTCGAATAAATATGAAGAAGTCTGATAGCGAACATGTTGTTCTAAGTCATAATATGAAAAAGGATTTTTAAGGAAAAGGCTCATATATTGATAAAATACAGAGGCCCAAAAAAGTTGCTCAGATTTACAGGCCCATTGAGAAGCCCAATCCTGGAAATGATCATAAAATAGGAGATGTTGGACAAAAGGAGGGTCCAGTTAAAATAGGTGGTGCATCTGAATTATCTGTGGGCCCTATTAATACAAGCCCATTGAGTGTACTAAGTCCAAGTGTTCAGACAGGACTGATTATTAATCAGAAAGAACAGGAGACCCGACCCAGTTGCTCTTATAAAGTGAATATATGTCTTCCTGATCCCCGCTCTTGAGGAAAAGTGAATATATGTCTTATAAAGTGAATATATGTACAATTTGCAATTGTACCAGCAGAGTGCAGCAGTTGTCAAGAATTTTTTGAAGAGATGACAGAAAACATAGAGGGGAGTGCAACAACAAATGTACATCCAATAGAGCCAAACTTGGAGATGATTGTTCAAGAGTCTTCTAGTCCTGTAATTAATTTTTTTGATGAGGGTAAAATTCCATATAATGAAGTGGAAAATATACATGCAGTTGATTCTCCTTCTCAGATATTAATGCTTCCATGGTACGAAAATGGCCCATGCAATATCCAGGAGAGACTAAACTTCATTGATGCTTCTCGCTGGGTGAAATCGAACATGCTAAAGTTATGTCGTCAATTGGGTGTCAAGGCGGATGTTCAGGAGAATGACTTGCTGAACCTTCTCATGAGAATTGAAAGGAGTAGATTAGCAAGACCTAAGCCACAAAACAAAAGCCCATCTCCACAT